CGAGATTCAGCTTCTAAGGGTCCCGTTTGGCTGAACCAGTGGTTGCCAGTTTTTTTTTTTGAAACTGTGTTGGACAGCTTGTCCGTTTTTGCCAAATGGCTTCAAACTTGGTTTTAGAGTTAAAATTAGGTTTTGTCATAGTAACCGAAAATGTTCAAAACATCCAGGGCTATAAGTTCAAGCTTTAAAACATTAAAAACTCTCGCTCTATGGTCCTCATTTTCGCGGTCAAAGTCACCGGAAAATTTTTCCTCTAATCCGAAAATAAGCAACTTAGATTAAGCATAAACATACCACATCAAACTAAGCTCAAAACTCACAAAACCAACATAAAACTCACACACTCTTATTACAATCTTATCTCTTCAAGAACCACAAATTTACATCCATAAATCCAAGCTTAAAGTTGGCTAGAAATTAATGGAGGGGAGTTTAAGAACTTACCCTTGAAGAATTCTCTCTTTCTCTTGAAAAACCCTTGAACTCCTCTAGGATTGTTAATGGCTTGAAACTATAAGAGTATAAGGAAATTTGAGAAGAATATTTCTCTATTTCAAACTTTCCCAAAACATGAAAAAGAGAGGATTTAGAGTTTCTTTACCCTTAGAGGAATGCTTGACTAGTCTCCTCCTAGAATCCCTTAATCTCCTTCTTCTTCTTCTATGGTGTGCTAGGGGCTCAAGTTTTGGAGAGTGGGAGAAAATATTTGAGAGGAAATGGAGAGTGTGTGGCCGGATTTTTTGAGTGGGGAAAAAGCTAGGAGAAAAAAAAATGAAGCTTATCCTATGTTGGTTCCTTTTATAGGCACTTGGAAATTATTTTTTTTAACACCAATTCCACTCCATCATTCAACCAAATTTTTGGTTCAAATCCCCCTTTCTTGGCCGGTTTTGGAAGGAGAAAAGAAGAAGCAACTTTGCCATTAATTCCCCTTCAACCACTAACATCACATCACCTTAACATAAAGTCCTCTAGCACACTCCACTAGCCAAAGGTTTGGCTCTATTTTTTCATGCATGGCCGGCCAAGTGGAGGAAGGGAGAGAAAAAAATCTCACCTACCCCATTGTACTCTTGTCCACTTTCTTAAGTTTCCCTTAGAAACTGATAAAAATTATACTGACTATAAGAGAGTAACGTAGCTAACAGGAATTCATTTCCATTTCTGACGGTTCTTTTTTCTACTGCTTATTTACAGTTAAATGTTAAATCCTTGACTGCTTTGGATATCACATTAAATTCTTATTCGCGTAATATCTTGAACTGTTTACAGTCTTGAAATTAATTCTAGACTGAACAAATTCTAAATTTAACTATCCTGCGTTAATTTTCAGAAATGACGTTGTTTCTGACGGTGTCAACTCCCGAGTTTACATTATACCCTTCTACTATGGGTATTTATCTTCTGACTTTAACCTAGCTGTCTGGCAATTAAGGATTTTCTTTTTTTTAAAAAATGTCAGTGCGTTTTTTTTTTGACGCTGCTAACATCATGCTGTGTTTGGAGATTCTTGAAATTAAGATTCTCAAACTATACTTGTACTGAAAATTATTCCGCCTTAAAGTACGGCAAGAATTTATCGATCGAATTTACTTGATCGAAAACATGAACTTAACATGAAATCTGCTACAGAATTTAGGAATACATATATTAATTCCATAAATCCTTCAGTCACATAATATTTTCTAGGAAAATCCTTAGCTTAAATAAATAAATTGTATTATTTAAAGTCTGGAATTTTCTTAGTCATTACATAGGGAGTGTTAGATTAGGATTTTGAAATCTATGAAGATTAAATACTTGAACACTATCGTCGAACACCACCCTGTCGCCACCACAGCGCCATAGTCGTGTCCCTGCTGGTGCGGTTGCTCGCACCCAAAGGCACTAGTCCACACCACTGGTTGGCGCAGACATGGCGTCATAGATGTAGGTCAGCTGCGACCAACGCCGTAGCGAAGCGTGTTGGCTTGTAGGAAACAACAAGGGAGGCTGGGCTGCCCCACATACTGCACACCCTGGGGCGCTGACTAGCATCCATGTGGGCGGTGACTAGCAATGTCGGGGCTGGCTTGCAATAGCTAGTGTGCGCGCGCACAGGGGCGGCTTGGCCGCCACACCTGCATGCTGTTGCGGGCCCGCTAGGGTTTTCGAAACTCAACTTTACCACAAAACATTCCGGAAGAGATTCAGACCTTGGAGATGATGTTGGACCCAGAGATGAACGAAGCTAAAGAATATTGAAGAATTCAAGACGAAGACCCGTTGATGTAATGGATGAAATAATTATTGAAATTATTTTATATTTTCATTTTGGTTGTAATAATTATTCGTTCGATATGGTTGTAATTTTTTTTTCATGGAACCCGGTCAAATTCGTCTTAATAGCCGATTGCGTATTTTATATTTTTTTGTGATAATTGTGTATTATATGTCCAATAATATGCTATATAGATTTAGTGTGCCTACTCATGTGTATAATTACATGTCATGCATACATGCGCATATTATTTAAGTACTTTATTTTATTAAAAGAATTTTAAAAAATAAAATAAGTATTATGCGATAAATTGATTTAATGTGATTAAATTGATTTTAGTTGCAATTTTTATTTGCAAAATAATGTAATTATGTGAAAGTGAACTTAAAAGTTAAATTTTAGAATTTCACATATAATTGAATTTAAGAGTTAAATTTTAAAATTTCACGTATCAAATAAAACACATATTTATAAAATATTGAATAGGAGAGGGTTGTATGACAATGCAAGCAAAAATAGAATTTTTGATTAATGCAAATAAAAAATATAGGAACCGATGACATGGGAATCAAAAACAAAACAGTTCAAGTAGCCACATGCACCTAAAATTACGATTTTCAGATTCTGACACTTGTAAAGCCGGTTCACTAATTCCTTAACAGGAGCTACTAGTCAAAAAATATAAAATGAGATTTTCAGGTTAGGTATGTGTACATTTTTAAATGTTAGATCAAGTCAAAAGCACATTAAAATTGAAAAAAAAAAAATAGAAATAGAGAAATTCTAACACATAATATGATGGTTTGAAATATAACTTTGTTGGTAAAATATTTTGTAAGATCATACCAAAAAAATTGTACAAAAATGAAGTCACGAGAATATTTTTGCGGTATGACTTATTTTTTTAGTTACCTAGGTACTTATGTTTTAACTGTTGGATATAGCTTTTAATGACTAGTGTCCACATTAAAATTTATAGCGTGCGACATAGTGTTATACTTTTTCTCATATCAAACTGTTGAAAAATTATTTTGACTACGAAAATAACAATTGCTGCCGGTAGAGTAAAGTAGCAGTTCCTGGCCATAAAAGTTTCATAATTTGAAACGTCAAGTTTTGCAACCTGTTTATATGTGAATTGTGACCAATTTGTCATATAAGCTGCATAATATTCTAAGTGAAATTAAGAAGTAAGGCCTTGACAAAGAGGTTCAGATGCAGATATATTGAAGTGACAAACCTGCGTACTAGTCAGTCAGTAGCCGTGCCATTTACGCTGTTATGCAGATATAATATTCTAGGCTTGCATTTTCGGCTTAGATGTCAATTTTATGTAAATTGTTTATAATTGTCTTTTTTCACCATTATTCATAGTTGAACTTAAGGGTTGTTTTAGTTCACGCGTTCAAGTCAGTAATTATGATTTATTAGTAAGAATTTTATAAGAGAATCAATTTTTGAATTTAAATTTTTTGTGAGATAAAAAAATACTGTAATAAAATTAAAATCTAGGATTTGAATACATCTCCCAAACACCTCATAATTAATTGTATGAATCCTTGACTTAGAAAGAATTCTACCTTTTGTTTTCACTCCAAGTTGAGAAAGCAAGAAGTAATGAAAATGTCCATTTTTAATTACTTCTCATGTGCTTATAATTGTTATTATTCCCTTCTTCGCTTCCAACCTTGGTTTCGAAAGAAAGGAGCTTTGAGTTTTGGTTTCTTCAGTCCCGGAAATTCCAAGTATCGCTATGTCGGAATTTGGTATAACAGCAACCCAGTTCGAACCGTCGTTTGGGTCGCAAATAGGTGCGAGCCCATCAATGATTCCTCTGGCTTGCTGAGCATAAACAACACAGGCAATCTTGTGCTTTTGCCTCAGAACAAGAGTGTTGTTTGGTCGACGAGCTCAACAAAACAAGCCAAGAAACCAATAGTACAGCTTCTAGATTCTGCAAATTTTGTACTAAGAGATGAGAAATATAGAAACTCGGAGACTAATTATTTACATCGGCTAAGTTTTGGTAATCTTTCTGATACTTAACGATAAAATTAGATGCATGGAAAATGGGAAAAACATTGAAGTGCTACAAAATAGTAATCTTGAGAACTTTAATAAAAAAATAAATATATAAAGACCTAAATTCAACAAGAGATGTGTTTTGAAACTGAAAATTGATTTATAGTTTATTTATTGAGCTGTCACATATATGGTTTTTATGATGCAGGTAGGTCCTATAATTGAAGTTCCAGGTGATTGAGAAAAAATGGTCAAAGGTTCCGTGATGAGTTTACAGATATGAAGATTTGAAATTTGTAATCTTTAGAATTTTGTTCAAGGATTGTTTTTGTAATAGATACTATTTTTCCATTATGCAGTATTATTTTATTCTAGCTACGTTTCAGTCAAGCTAGCGGAGTTTTGAACTGCTAGCATAAAAGCGACGTTGAAAAGCTGGTTCAGTAATTCCTTATCTAAAACATAAAAGGAGAGTAAGTGAATGTTTCAAAATATTTAGATCAAGTTAAAATCATATGTAGAACAATTTGATGAAACGTTGCAATCATTAGTGTTGCTCCCAACAGATCAAATGTACATTCTATATTGAAAACAAAAATATTCTTCCAATTTTGCGTTGTTTAAATTATACAATATTACATATTTTTCCTACATGACAAGTGACTTAAACAAAAAACTAGCTATTTAAATTATACAATATTACATATTTTTCCTGACATGACAAGTGACTTAAACAAACCACTAGCTATGCTTTTAATTAACTATTAGCAACAGATTCTGCTGCACAACACTTTTTTAACAAAACACTTATCCCCTTGATCACTAGCCCCATTATTTTCTTTGATGTTTATCGATCAGATATTGTCATGCAAAGCATGTTACACAATAGGCCTTATCGACCCACGAACGCTGTTATGGTCATAGTGTTTTCGGAAAGTGACTCTGGCTTAATGGAGGAATGATATCTTTCTTGTGAATTTGAATCCATGAAATAGCCAGGGGGATTTGGTTGAGGTAGATCATTATCACTGCCTAACATGATAATAACAGATGACATGTTGGGACGATCTACAGGGCGTTGTTGCACACACAAGAGACCAACATGTATGCAACGCGACACTTCCCACAGATTATCATATGAATCCATTAAGTGTGCATCAATGAGCTCAAATGGCCTTCCTTCTTTTAGCAATGTCCATGCCTAGACATATTAAGGAACAATATGTCATTCATTATTCTGATACGATAAGAGTAACAATACAAAAAAAAAAAAAATACAAAAAAAAAATAAAAGTAATGCAATCTTTTAATACTTACATGTCCAATAAACGTATGCCCCTCTTTGTTCTCATGGTGAAAGCTTATACTCCTTTTCCCACTTACAATCTCCAACACCATTACACCAAAGCTAAAAACGTCAGATTTTATCGAGAATAGACCGCTAAAAGCATATTCCGGTGCCATATAGCCACTACACGCACATAATATGAACAGTCAAATTAAAAGCCACTATGTAATAGACCTAGATATTTTTTAATATAAAGAGCTTTCAAGAATACTCACTAAGTGCCTACTACTCTGTTTGTGTTTCCTTCTATTTGATCTCCTCCAAAACTTTTTGCCATACCAAAGTCAGAAATTTTGGGATTCCTCTCGTTATCAAGTAGTATATTACTAAGTTTGAGATCTCTATGTACAATCCTCAATCTGGAATCTTGGTGGAGATATTGAAGCCCCCGAGCAATGCCGCATATAATTTCAAAACGCTTCTTCCATTCTAATAGTTTACTTTGCACTTGATCTAGAAAATATGCCCTTAAAGTTAATCAACTAATTATATCAAAACTGTACAACAATATAAAAACTAAGGTTAATCTCAGAAATGACCCTTGACTTATGTCATCAATTCTAATTTACTCCTTGATGTTTAAAATGTCTCGAATTGTATCCCTTATCTATCAGCTTATTTCAGTTTTAGTCCTTTCCAACCCATCAACTTGGTATTAAAACATGATAGAATATGCATGTAATGCTGACAGAAGATAATATTTTGCTAATAGAAAACGAATCATGCACATGATTCTAACAAAAGAAATTTCAAAATAGAACTATGCTAACTGAATATCAATCTTTTTTTTTTTTTTTTTTGGTCTGTTTCTAACATCCTACTTATATAATGGAGTAAAACTTAAATAAGCTGATAAGTCAGGGATGGAGGTAATGATATTTTAAAAGTTAATGGACTAAAGTAGCACAAGAACCATTTGTGAGATTAACCCAGAAAAATAGCATAAATTGAACAGGGGTACTTACTACCAACAATAAAAGATTCCAGGCTTTTGTTGGGCATGTATTCATAAACCAACAACTTCTCCTCTTCTTGAATGCAGCAACCAAGAAGCTTTACAAGATTCCGATGTTGAAGCTTAGCAATTAGTATAACTTCATTTTTAAACTCATTTGTCCCTTGCCGAGAACTCAATGAAAGCCTCTTCACAGCAATCTCTTGTCCATCTTCTAGAGTACCCTGAAATCTCACATTCACAAAAGAATTGCAAAATCCAATTATACAGATTTTGGATATTTCAATTTGTCTATTATGTTCTAAGTAGCATGTGACAAGCTTACTCTGTATACAGGTCCAAAACCGCCTTCTCCGAGCTTATTGTCAACTGAAAAATTATCAGTAGCAGCACTTAATGTAGCCATGTCAAATAATGGGAGGTCAAACTCTTCTTCATTTGCTCTGTTTTCCGGTGTTGCTCTATAATTTTTCCCTGTTTTCTCTAAAAGATACCGCAAGGTCAAGTATTTCAGTAACCTCTAACAAACCAAAAGGATAAAAAATCCACTTAAATTGTAATATCAGAACAACTATATATATACATCATATAGTTTTGGAGAAATGAAAGTACATATTTCTACCATTTAATAGCTTTAAATGACTACACTTGTAAGTAAAAATTATTCTTGTTCAGGATATTGCACTTGTATTGCAAAATTAAATCAGCCCATTGAGACAAATAATTTTACACACGTTTTAAAGTGAACACAAAAGAACAACATCAAGGAGTTAATTGGCACATAAAGGAACTATATTAATAATTATTTCCAAAGAGATCAAAGAAAAATTACCTCTCATTGTCTTCTTGCAAAAGTAATAGCCAACTAAGAGCAACCCAGAAAGTGCTCCAAGAACTGCTAGGACTATTATTGCCCTCAACTTACGGGTGATTTTTGCTTGTCCTTAGTTGTTCAGGTACGGGAAAATCAAATGGAAATGTCAATCACAGCAAAAACCGGTGAGGAAATCATGTAAAAGTATTTAACTTTGCATCAAAATACATAGATTTCTTGTGAAAACCAAATAGGCTATCTTTTGTAAAATAAAAAAAGTAAATGTATGTACCTAGTTCTGAAGCGGGTATTCGTATATATAGCTCTTGTTCACTTCCAGCGATTTGACTAATGTCCATAAGACCGTCGAACCAAATACAACAGCCCTTTCCATGTCCTCTGATATCGAGGTTTGAATAAGCCGCACAAGAACAGTTGCTCAAGCATTTGACCCTGCATTCCTTTAGATTCATACTGTCGTTGAACCAAGTATTTCTACTATCTGGCATTTTTATGCTATCAAGTTTCACAAAGCCATCCGCATCTTTATCTTTCTTGTTGTGGCAATTCAGCGGATTTTTGCGGATACATCCGTCAGACCAGTCCCTTAAATCCCATTTTTGTTGGGACTTAGGCTTAAATCCTTTCAAACATTTGCACACTGCAGTCTCACTTATTATGCAGTTCCCATTGGCTCCGCAGTAACCATAGTAATCACAATCAGCTTTAGGGGCTGAAACATATGACCGCCAACTCTGGTCTCCTGCACTCCATGTAAGCCGTTGATTTACGCTATTTGTTTGATTCAGGACTACTATTGAGATAACAGAGTTGTTCTTGAGGTTGTACATGTAATAGAACTCGTTGCTATTGTAAACAAAGTGTCTATCATAAAGTCGATTAGTCATTTCTTCTTGTGAACTACTAAAACCAATGCCATTCCATGGTCCTGTACGGTAGATTGTTGTCACGCCCTTACGTAAATACACTTCAGAGTAAATGCCAAGTCCGACATCAAACCCAAAACTCAAATCTCCAGGACAAGGGTCATCCCAGTTCTTCCATGCTGACAATCGCCTGTTAAGACCTCTCCTGATGTCCCATCCAAGTTTCATCCCGGGTAGCAATGTATCCGCAGGATAATCAAAACTTTGCCACAAATAACTCTCCGAGTTTTTATCTTCCTCATCTCTTAGTACAAGATTCCCAGAATCCAGGAGCTGTACTATCGGTTTCTTAGCTTGTTTGGATAAGTTTGTAGACCAAACCACAACACTCTTGTTCTGATTCAGAACCGCAAGATTGCCTGTGCTGTTTATAGTCAACAAGCCTGAGAAATCATGAATTGGGCTGCATCTGTTTGCAACCCAAATGACAGTTCGAACTGGGATTTTCTTGTACCAAATTCCCAAGTAACGATTTGTGGAAGTGCCGGGACTGAAGAAACCCAACTCAAAGATTCCTTCTTCAGAAACTAAGGTTCTGCCATCGCTGATATTGAGGAACGGACTTATACTATCAGCTGCAAAAGAAACTGTTTGCAAGATAAAAATAGAAACGACAGTTATAAGCATCAACCGGAAAAGCATGCGCATTTGTTCTTGGTTTTCGCACTCTCTTCTTTTCGGCTTTGAGAAAATAGCTTGGAGGACACAGATAACAATTTTCTAGTATGCAGTTCTTTGGCTTGGTGCCCCACTCACTTTCATCAAGAAAAACACGCTAAATGACAATTTGCATTGTCCGGAATTCTTCACCAGCCACCTCTCATCAGCACAATTTAGTCAACCTAACGTGTGGAAAAGATAACCTTTTTTTTGTTTTTTTTTGGTTTTTTTTTTTTTTTTTTGTCTTCATATATGGTACCAACTCTTTAAAAGGTGGCAGTTTAGTCTCTAAATTTTTTTTTTAACGAAACGAACTCCAAACTATTTAAAAGGGTACAATATAATCTTTTCCGTCAGATACCGTCTAAAAAGTAACGGCATAATAACCTAAAAGGGTAATATTATGGTCCCTTACTTTTTTTATGAGGTGATTTTTTAGTCCCAATCGACTTTAATAGGTTAGGATTTAGTCCCTATTTTTGAACGGCATTTAACCGAAAGGACGATATTGCACCCTTTTAGATAGTTTGGGGCTCGTTTCGTCAAAAAAAAAGTATAAGGACCAAACTATCACCTTTTGACAAGTTTAGGGATCATTCGTGCCAATTACCCATATATGTATATGGATAAGTTTTTAATGATTACATTTCTACCTGTAGTTACCACCAAATATAAAAACTTGATGACATAGCAGTGATAGAAATCTTATTTTTCAAATCGATTATCCAATTTATTATAACCGTCAAATCAATATATTTTACGGCTAATACACTGATAACCAGTGAGGGATAAATATTAGAGTGATCGGGTGTGTGTATTTGACACGTACGTTAGTTTTATACGTGTATAGAGAACATGTATGTTAGTTTTAAGTTGACCAGAGGTCATATCAGGACATTTTATTTGCATAACACTAGAATATGGATGGCCTTATCTCCACTCAATGATAGCTTGTAGTGATGATTTTAGCAACAAACAAACACTAACGATACTGCTAACAGGTGATCGCTTATGTCATAATATACGAGCACCGGCTCCAGCAATTTTGGGGCGTTAATCAAAAAATTTAAGAGTACTCTTTTAAAACGTAAAAAGCTACAATTTAATTTTAAGTTTTATTCAAGAGAAAGCAAAATATTTTAAAGAATGTGATTCCATCTAATTAAAACACAACAATACGAGACATAAAATAGCTATGATAAAATTTAAATAATAATTAATAATGGATAAGAAATGAGCAACAAATTAAAAAAGACATAATTCAAATCTTCTTTAAACTCCAATGACCTTTTTTAGATGAATCTTTAGATAAGCTTTTTTTTTTTCCCCCTCAAAACTATTAGAGAATGTTGATGAGCAGGGTATGAGAAGTAGTGAGACTCAAGATTTTTCATGGCTCAATTTCGTGATAACGTTTTAATTGTCGATGTTAGAAGTTGAATTTGTCTCACGTCACCATGTTGTCGGGCTGTTATAGTGTTTATATGTAGATTGGGCGCCCTCTCGTCTTCAGTTAACTTTTACATATGAGTTCTATCCAAGCCCGTTTATCATGTTATCAAAGTCTCTTTTGACATTTTCACAGGTATTTCTCTACTTTTAACTGTCACATATATATTAGAAACTATCGGTTGTACATACTTTTTATTTTTATGTAATTTTCACAAATCTAACGGTAAAAAACATGCACTACCGATAGGAGGCACTAGCTATAGATTATGTGGCGACCCTCCTATGAGGCCGCCACTGTAGCTTGAACTTTAACTTGTACTTACTGGGGTTTCTTAAAATTTGCGGAACATTTTTTTTTTTTTAAACATAAGAGGGAATATTTTTATAATTCGTAACAATAATTTTAAAAGAATGAATCACTAAATTACTTAAAGCTTTTCTTAATTTAGTTAAGATAAAACCTTCTAAAATATCTTTCGAACTGAGTGACATTTGAATTCTTGTTTCACATACTCTTTAAAAGTCTTTCTAAAACTAGCCATTACATTTAGGCCATCTAATTTGACCTTAAAACGAATTTCGTGAGAAATCTTAAATTCAAGTACTTCTTAAAGTCCTTTCAAAATCAATCATTTAAACCGTCATGTTGAAAATTCGTTTATTTGTTGCATGCACTATTGCAACGTTCTAAAACTTAAAAACTCAAGACTAGGGTTGTTAGCTACAACCTCAGTTCTCTTAACATACATATGTACATATACTTTTTAAACATACGTGCTTGAAACCTTTGAATCATATATACATATACATGATTTTACTTTAACTTACTGCGGAAGATTTAACTGTGAGTGGTATCCATTCCCATCTCCACCATTC